TAATATTATTTTCTTGTTTGGCAGAGATAGGAGAAGGATTGCAGTCACCTCTTAAGGGTGACTGCTTAAATCAAATGAGTTAAATTTTGGATTCAAAATGATATTCAGTTTCTTTTCCACAAGAATGATCTAATTCTACCTTAAACATGAGTGATTGACATGTTTAGGCTTGATCTAATGCCTGTATCATGGTTGTTGGTTTACACATCTTTGTCCTAACCATGTAATTATCAGATACAGTGCAAGCATTGAAACCATTTTCATTTTACAGCTCTACTAAGATAGAAGAGACTGAACTAGGAAAAGTTCATTGGTATAAACTGAGAAAAAGGCTCGCCCCAACGGGAAAATTCGGATCAGCAGCTTGAGAAGCAGTTTCTGTTTCAAAAAGAATGGTATTATTGGTAAATTTTCATTAAATGCATTAATAAAGGTGCTAAAGTACAAATGTGAAGTTTGAAGTAGAGTGAGTGATACCCAGTGCTGTAGAGGTCCACATGAAGAGCTTTCTCAAGGAAAACTGATACTATAATTGGCCCAGCCAAGTCTCCAGCAGCACAGCCTGTTGAAAAAGATGCATAATTTCAAATGATGCCATTGCAAGGCAGGTAAATTGATACACAAAATTGGGATGTCAGTAACAGGTAACTATTTGCTATAAGTGACAAAGAGTAAGAGATGCATATAGGCGACTAACTTACCAATCCACTGGCTGATCGAAGGACGAAAAAGAGTAGCACCAATCCCTGCTCCAATGGAAGCAAAAATCAATGATGCTCCACATCTGATGGTAATACCAGAAATCTTCTTTCCAAGAAGTTTAGCTCGCTCTGTTATGTTGATCTCATCACTGTCATTGTAGTTCGTTATGTGAGAAAAGCATCCGTAGATTTCGATACCAGTTTGGACAAGCCATGTTACTGCAACTCCAAGAAGGTGACCTGAATAAACATTGGGAAAAAGACAGGGATGTTACAAAGCTAAAGAAGCTATTAATAATAAAACAGAAACACATTGATAATGGTTTTGACCTCTGAAAGTTGTTCTGCTAACTCTGAAGAAGTATACTATGGTAGGCATTCCCCTTTGGGACTTCCGTACAGCTGATTTTGGAACATCTTCACATGGTTGATCAAACTCATCAGCAGCTTACAATAATAATCAGCGAGAAGAATATTTGAAAAATACTATTGAAAAGCATTTTTTTCCCCTTTTACGACATCACAGGCAAGTTAAAAGTATAACCACCTATCTACCACCATGACTTTGTGGAATGATGGACAGAAAGTACCTTTAAGGAGTTTCCATGCCATGCGTTGTGAAACATAAATACCAACAAGTCTTTCAAGAACCCATCTTGTCGTTACAACAGTAGTCTGAGAAGGCATAGACCATAATGAAGTTAAGCTGTTCCTTGAATAGCCAAGGATTGTCAAACATGGAGACTCAACAATCTACAGCAAACAAACTGTAGCTTAGACTGTAGCTTAGATTTAATGAACATCAAAGGAAGAAGAATTGAACATATTAGTCATGTGTAAATATGAATTTAGTTAGCATATAAATTACATAAATCCATACATTTTTATTAACTTTAACTGCTTACATTGATGAATTATAAAAATATCTGGCTTTTTGCTTGAGTCTAGCTCAAAAAGCATATCAGAATTTGATAAGATACATACAATAGAGACAGATGAACAATATCATGAAACCGGCTCAGTGGCAGGATATCATAGAAGGTCAAAGGCCAGACCAAAAGGAAACAACTCACCTCACGAATTAATTGCCTCACTGATTTTTTGAAGGGAACAACTTAATGGACATGGCGCTCTTCTGGAGTCTCCTGCAGGAAGTCATCATCATCCTCTTCTGTGTTTGTAGCAGGCTCCAATAGAGGCAAATAGAACATCAGAAATGACCTCAAGGTAGTCATAGCAAATGTTCTCAACTCAAAAGCTGAAAAAAGAGGCTTCAACTCAATCTTGTACCCCTTGACTGTGAATTTTAGACCATCATTCTTAAAGATATCTTCAGATACTCTTCGTATATTTGTAATGTAATCTTCAGGCAATTCCGCAGCAGCATCACAATGAGAAACCTTGGGATAACTGCAATACAACCACTAGGGATTAAATACAAACTTTTTACTCATTCCACCTTCAACCATTTACCTGTGATTTGTTAGTAGAGTGCTGGACTCTCAGTTCCAATGATTTGGGTTCAAATCTTGACAGCCTCAACTATCAAAAAAAAAAAAAAAAAATCACAATCCTAAGCTAGTTGTAGTTCTTAAGCCGTTATATAAAAATAAGACAACCCAGGCTAACATCAACTTCATGCACAAGAAAGTAACAAATTTACAACAATAATTAACTAAGCAATAAGAACATAGCCTTCTAAACCAAACTGAGCAGCCTAATACATTATTGAAAGCCAAATTCGATGCAATTGAAACCATTCTAAGTTCTTACATAAACCCAATCCTAATCCAATTGAAATCAGGACAGTCCATTAATTAATACACAAATCAAACACAGGCATACATTATACACAGAGATAATGATATGTACACTCATATGAACATAAAAAAATGTATATGAAATAGATGAAAAGGAAGTTGTTGACAGAAATGAGTGATGCAAGAAGATTTAAAACTACGACCTAACATGATTCCCCATTCCAAAGATACGAGATATAAAGCTTGGTTTGTTGTTATCGTACGGAATCAAATAAACAAAACCCAATTGCCTAAATTCCATGAACATCCACTATCCAATCCAATCCAATCCAATCAAATCAGCACTGTTCACAAAGCAATAGAAAAATCAAATTCAGCACTGCATACACACACAGATAACAACATGAACACTGATATACACCTTACACAATTTGCCTAAAAACCATCAAAAGCCGTCACCTTCTTCTAATTACCATTGACAACCAAGCAATAACAAACAAAGTGAACCAATACATGGATATAAACATACCCAAAAAGGAACCTAGAGGCAAAAGGGGTTCCAGCAGCGATGGTAGCGGCGGCTGATACGGCGGCAGCGGAGGCAGAGAAGAACCCAGAAGAATGGAAGCTTTGTGGAGAGCAAAAGCTTGGGTTTTTCTTGCATAGATCTAGTAATATTGCTATTCCCGCCATTGCTATTCCTCAATACGCAGCTAAAAACAACAAATAAAAGAGACCCACTTTGGGTAACTACCATAACAATGATCAGCTCGAGTTGTTTTCCACCTTTTGGTTTTCTGGAGAAAGTTAATGCTTTGAGGGGATTTTTAACTTGATTCCAAAATAATTGAAGTGTTTAATAAGAAGGAGCTTAGAAAATTAGAGACACAGGACAGGATTTGATTTTTTGTAAGGAGTGAAGCTTTTAAAGAGCAGTTGTTATTCTGCTATGCGCCAATATGCTGATAAATGAATGCATAATCAACGAGCATGAATAACCTGTTCATACGTCAAAGATGAAACGATGCCTCAATACTCTTTAAGTTACTCATTTTGATTAAGGTAAAATTTAAATTTGATTAAATTAACGAGTTTGAATATCATAATATTTAAGTTTAAATTGAATAATTCATGAATTTAATAAAAATTTTAAATTTTAATAAATTTTAATTATTTTAATTAAAAATTATTACTTTATATTTATGTGTATCAATTTAAATTTAAAATTAAACATGAAAATCAAATTTATTTTTATTAAATAAATTTAATCGAACGAATTAAAATAATTTAATTTTTAATTTAAATTAAATTTAAATTAAAAAATTAAAATTTAATTAAATTTAAATTAAATTTAAAATAATAAAATTTAAAATGTTCATTATATCAAATTATCAATCCAACACCATTCAATTACTCTTTTAAATGCAACTACGAAACACCCAAGAGACATTAGTTTTATGTATATGTGATAATAGTTGAGGGGGAAAAAAAATAAAGAAGCTTGGACTAGTAGCTCTCTTGGCACTACAAAGTCCATCAGGGAATTCATTACAAAAGGAATGACAAAAGGATTAAAAAAATTAAGATGCATTTTAGTACTAACATGGGGATTTTAGAAACTCCATAATTATATCATTTGCTTTTGGCTTTGAATACTCCATTTGACTCTTTCTATCATCACAAAGGCTAACTTTCATTCCTTTTTTTTTTTTTTTATCAATTTAAATAAAAAATTGCCAATTTAATATCACAATCATAGCTAACATCACTTACTACCATTTATATTATGGAATATTAACCCATTAATTCTTAATTTCTTATATAAAACTGACGATCATGAAAAAAAAATAAATAAAGGGAAAACCCCACTTTAGTAATGTCAGAAAAAAAGGTATTTACAAACAAATTTGAATTGATAAAATTTGAATATTTTATTTATAAAATTTAGTTTCAAATTTTATTATCAGTAATTTTTTTATGAAGGATTTGAAAATTAGCATATAATTTATGTTTATTAAAAGTAAAATTGAGTCGAGTCAAATTGATGAGTGAAAAATTCGAGTTTAAGCTCGAATTCAATTTAAAATTCATTATTTGAAATTCAACTCTAATTTAATCAAATTTTTAATTTCAAATTTAAATTTGATTTGAAATAAAAATTAAATTACTTAAATTCATTAAACTAAGTTCATTTATCAAATAAAAAGAGCTTGATTCCCATACTCGACTTTAAATTTAATTTTTTGTATTTAAATTTGAGTTCAAACTTGATTTCATATATATACGTGTAAAATAATAAATTTTTAATTAAAATATATTAAAATATAAAAATTTGATTAGATTCGTAAATTACTCAAATCAAATATTAAAAATTTATATTCAAGTTTTTTGAAAATTTGAGTTACTTGAATAAAAATTTAATTCGATAATAATTAAATCAAATTTAAATTTTATCTAAATCGATAATAAAAACTTACAAATATAAATGTATAATTTACATTCCAAGTGTTCGCTTTTGTCACTAAACTTCTATACAAAAACTGTTTTCTAAGGGCCCATGGACTGAAGGTCTGTACAAATGAGTGATGGGCTCAGCTCCGATCTGCAAAGCTACAATACATTTCAGTTTTTTCTTCTTCTACCATTTCTGGTTTGTCTTCTCAATCAGCAGCTGCATGCCAAACCTCTGCAACTTCCAAACTACCCATCAAAATGTCCTTTTTTGGCTCTCTTGTTTCTGCTCTTACCTCATCATCTTTTATCACCTCTCTCTTCTCCCACTCTCTCTTGTTCCACACATCAAAACAAGTACAAAGTCTTTAGCTTTCACCCCTTTCCCGAACCCTTGTGAGAAACTGAAATTTTCCATAAAAGATCTTGTTTTGATGCTAAATATCGTATGTTTTGGTCTAAAGAAAAGTGCCCATTTTCCCTTTTTCTTGATGATTCTCTTAGTTCAGCAAGTCAAAGCCATATCTTGGTCCTTGTTGGTCCTTCCAAGCTTGGACTTCAGTTTTCTCGGGTTTAACTCTGATCTACTTGCAGATCTTCAAGGTTCAGCTTTTTCTGAGTTCTGGTCAGTTTTTTCTAATTCCCTCCTCTTGGTGGGTAGAATTCTTTGAAAATTCAGCTGGAGATTCATGGTGGCATCTTTGGGGTTATTGTCAGTTAATTGTAGTTTTGATTTAATGCAAGGAGCTTCCTTTTTGTTCATTTGGAAGGTTTCCAAGTCAGCTGGATATCTTCTATTCAACAATTTGTAACTTATTTGAGGAATATATTTCTAGGAAGTTGGAGTTTCTGAGCTTTTAGATGGTCAAACATTTAGTTTCTTATTCTTCTTATTTTCCTATTCATTCCACCTTTTGATCTTGGCTAGAAGGTTTGTTTTTAAGGTAATAGCTTATTGCAATGTTCTAGCAATTTTCTTGATGATTGCATGGTGATTGTCTTTAGCTATGTGAATAGGTAGTCAAGAAGATTCTGTATTGTAAATCTCCTCTTGGTGCTTTATATCAAAATGTCTGGAAATGGTCGTTGTTTCATGGAGTGGAAGGAGGAATTTGTTTCACAGGAGCGTGGTAATCGTGTGGTTCACTATTTCTTGAAGGATTCCTCTGGGGAATCCATCCGTGCAGTTATTGGTACTGAGAGGAGTGTTAGGCACATGTTTTATGTTGTTGCTGAGGAGTTTGTGAGGGTATATGGTGATGAGCATTCAATTCATCCTGGTTTCAAATGGAGGTCAAGAAGAGAGGTTGTGGATTGGCTTACATCTATGCTCTCAAAGCAGCATCTGCAGGGAGACCAATCTAGTATGTATTGCACCCTTTGGTCTTTGAATTCTTTTATTTTCTTGGCATTGAAAGATAGTAAATCACAATAAAATGCATCAGTCACTATGTATATATAAATAAGACCTTCTTAGCAAAGCAGTTTAGAATTCAGAACTGATCTAAATTTCTGTTTATCAGGCGTCAGAAAAGCTTAATGATTAAGCTTTATATTGTCGCTTGTCCATTATATAAGAGTTTAATGATGAATTTGAGGTCTTGTATGAGTTTTCTTTACTGTCCATCACATACTTCTAACTTTATTTCATTGTTCTTCCATTTTTTTTTTAAGTATAATCCTTGTGAGTCACTTGTTGTACTACTCTTTTAGTTGGATGTAAAAAAATGTTATTATCAATTATTATTGAATGGTTGGTTTTTCCTTACCATTTATGGTTGAAGCAACAAACTATTAAGAGTCATTGGTCTTTAGAATTCTTGTTTCCTTGGAAAGGAACAACGAAACACCATGCTGAATATCTATGAAATTCATTCACAGTTTTTGTAACATCTTCAATGACAGAGTTACCAAAACATGAAGAACTGCTAGCTTTGCGATCTTGTGATCATACAATGATAGAGATTAGTGCTTGGAAGGCCCAAGCACTGCATGATATGGTATATCATCTTGATTTTCTATTAGTTCTGTTCCTTATTCTTTCTTTGATTTTGTCTGACATTGACTCCTACTTTACAGGGCCATCTTTCGAGAATTGTGTGGTCAGGCACTGCCTGGACATGTGGTAAACAGCTCAAACATTTCCCAGCATTTGGTCGCAATGGGACCACAATAGTGGTAAGCATCAACATATGAAGAAAAAGAAAGATGGTGCAGATTGGGATGTTGGACTTTTATACATGAAATGAAATGAGTAGATCTACTTGCCTAAACTCTAATCCCATGTCTAGACCTGGTCAAATTTCATAAATTTAATTGGTGGAATGAGGAAAAATAAATGGTTCAGTTGAAACAAATTGCTGTAATTCATGAAGTGCTTCTAAATGCTTTGTTGCTTGAGGCCATAATTATGTGATATGATGGCATGGGGTTTACATCTCTGTTGCTCATACTTATCCTGATACAAGGAGGCATGAACTTTTGGGCCTTGATGGGTATAGCAATATCATTTCTCTTTGGGACCAGGCAATCGTGCATTTTGATGTGACTTTATCATTTGTTCTTTCTTTGACTGTGAAGTCTGTTGACATTTTTCCTGATGCTCAGGTTCATTCTTTTGTCTTTGTCATGGCTAAAGGCGAGAATCACTATCTTGCTTACTTGGAGGACATGTATGAAGACAAGCGAGGGCAGAAGAAGGTCAAAGTGAGGTGGTTTCACCTTACTAAGGAAGTCAAGGGTGTCATTTCCGTAAGAAATCCTCACCCAAAAGAAGTTTTCATCACTCCTTATTCACAGGTGATTAGTGCAGAGTGTGTTGATGGTCTTGCGAGTGTCTTAACACGTGAGCACTATGAGAAATGCTCAGCTGTTTTTCCTGATGCTTTATTAGCTAGAGTGCATGTATGCTCTAGGCAGTTCAGAAGCAATAAAGTGAAGCCATTTGATTTGAGTAAATTGCGTGGCTATTTTGATCAACCGATTCTCTCGTGTTTGAATTCCAGTCTGTTCTCAGAGCGTGACAACATGAGCCATTGCCTAAATGAAGAAGAGGAGGAAGAACTAAACCCCAGTGAAAATTTGAAGCTGGGAAATAAGAGGACCAGAACTAATAGAAGTAGTCCAATGTTTGTGACAGATCATGCAGGAAACAGGATTTCTGGTAACCATTTGATGACTTATAAAACTTCATACAAGCAAATTAAATATGCTTTGTCTGGAAAGAGATTGCTTTCCCCTAAGCATGCTGAGAGTCAACATTGGTATGGCTCAGTTTTCAAGGTTGACGAAAAGATAGAGTTGCTCTGCCAAGATAGTGGCATCCGAGGCTGCTGGTTCAGATGTACAGTATTGCAAGTATCAAGAAAACAGATGAAGGTTCAATATGATGATGTGCAGGATGAAGATGAATATGGTAATCTTAAGGTATGTTTTAGGCATTTTAAAAACTTGTATCGGCATATCTTCCCAATCAGTTGATCTCCATAAAGTTGTATAGTAAGTAAAGAACAAATTTCCACTAGTGGTGATTCCAGTTCATGGTTTGAAATGTTTGGTCACTTTGCCGAGCTGCAAAACTGAATCTCTAGTAAATCTCATGTTTTTTTAATAAATGCGTTTGTTATTCTCTTTGAAATGAAAGCTGATGCATTCTCCACTGTGTAGGAATGGATCCCAATTTTAAAGCTTGCTATGCCTGACAAACTTGGAATGAGGTACGCAGGCCGCCAAACAGTACGACCTGCTCCTCGTATCTCTCAAACAGCACTTGCACTTGAGGTTGGGGCCGCTGTTGATGCATGGTGGAGCGATGGCTGGTGGGAAGGGGTTGTAATTAGAGCCAACAGCAGCAGTGATGATACTTTGCAAGTTTACTTGCCTGGTTTGTTTATTTTGAAATGTATATGTTGCTGTTCCTTCTTGTTTATTGTGATCCAATTGATGCTTTCTCTTACCCACTTCAAATAATATTTACTCTTATCATGTTAGGTGAAAATTTATTCCTGAACATAGACAAAAAAGATCTAAGAATTTCCAGAGATTGGGATGGGGACCAATGGATAGATATTGAGGCCAGACCTGATATTCTCGCTGTGATATCTGCTGCCATTAGACCCAACGCCGAAACAAAAGTTTCCATGTCCTCTACTGTTGTCATGGATGCCAAGGTTGGTGGCAGAGGCACAATGACAAATGAAGTTTTTGCTGCCAAAACTATACCCAAAGTTGTTGAAGGGGAACAGCCTGAGTTAGCTATTCAGGACTCTCCTGATAACCTTCTAGAAGACACTGGTGGTAAGGAGCTTCAATCATCAAAAATTGAAAAAGATGGGGATGATAGTGATTATAAGAAGCCTCCACCATCAGAAAATGGCTATGGAAATGCTGATGATGCCAACTTCATTCTTGATAAACTAAATGATGTGGATGATAATGATGAAAACAACACCAACGACAATGGTGATAAGGAAGGCGAGTTAGAGACCAAAAATGACAATGAGCAGAACTCTAAAACTGCAGAGCTCATGGAAGCAACGACTTAGAATGTCTGATGCAACTGATTCTTTTATAACGAGGATGGTGGTACTAATGTTGACTAACATGGCTTTAGTTAAGACCTTCTGTAAATAGTGACACAGGAATGCAAAGTCATTGTGTTTTGTGTATTGACTTGGTGGCCTTGGTCTGTGTACAGTAACAAGGTTAGTACTTTATTGTGGTTCCCGTTGTGGTAATTGTTCGAACTAGAAATAGGATTTGCATTTGAAGATCTTTGATTAGGAGCTCCTCTTCAATGGAGTCTGTTCTTCCTCAGTTTCTTAATCATGGGCTTTGCTTGTATCTTGTAAGTTGCAACCCCAAATCTGTATTCTCTTATAATGATTGTAAACACCCAATTGGGTCCGGCCGGTCAATGGGCTGAACGATCAATTGTGGCCAATGCACCCATTATTTTCGTATTTTTTATTTTTTATTTATTTTTATTTTTTTTTCTTTTCTCTGTGTATTTTATTATTATTATTTGTATTATATTGTATATATAATAATTTTTTTTTTATGATAGATTTATATGTATATAGTTATATATTTATTATTATTATATTATTATTCTTATCTTTTTTTTTTAATTATATGTTCTGATTTTTTCTGATTTTCAGATATTATTTGAAAATTTTTTATCTTTTGATTTATCTTTCCAATTATCTAGATTTTTTTTTTTTAATTTTATTTTAATTTTTATTTTGGAGGGCTAGGATTCGAAGTTGAAGACTCCCACTCTGAAGGGGAATTCAATCAGAAGAGTCCAATTGGATTCAAAGACTGAATTCCCGTCCAAAGAGGAATTGGGATTGATCAGAAACTCCTGATCAATCCCTATAAAAGGGACCCCCCTGGAACAGTCAAGAACACAGGGAGAAAACAGAAGCAAAAGCTACTGATTGAGAGAATAGGGGTGTTTAGAGAGCTAAGGAAAAGTTTAGGAGTGTTCTGGCAGTGAGAAAAATTTTTTAGAAAAATTTGGCGAAAAAATTTTCTGGAAATTTCTGGGAAATTTCCAGATTCCGGCGAAAATTCCGGCGACTTTTGAATTTTTCGGCGACAATTCCGGCGAACTTTGAAGTTTCCGGCGGAGAATCCCAGAAATCGGCGACCATCCGGCCAACTTTCGGCCAATTTTCGGCGAAATTCCCAGATTCCGGCGAATTTTCCAGAATCCGGCACCGGCGTTCTTCAAATTCTAGAGAGAAGGCAGAGAAGAAGGGAAGAAGAGAGAGAGAGGGGAGGAACGGTCTGCTGAAAAACAGAGGAAGGTGCCTTTTATACCCTCCCAAAACGACGTCGTTTTGGCTTTAAGTTAATAAGAGGATCTGCGCGTTTTGCCGAACCCGACCCGACCCGAAGCGTCGACCCGCTTTCTGACCCGCGCGTTTCAGCCCCTCCGAGCCGAGTCGCACCAAGCCGAGCCGCGATCCGAGCCGCTCCAGGTTTTTTTTTTTTTTTTTTTTTTTTTTTTTGAATTTTTTTTATTTGACTTTGATTTTGATCTTGATTTTTTTTTCTTTATTCTTTAATTAATCCGACGACGGAGCCTCTACAAGTAAAAACAGTAGTTTTTCTTGCATACTCCTGAGGTGAGGGAATTTTCTCAATTTTTTGCTAAAAGTATTAGAGTCAATTGAGAATAATTTTCGATAATTAATTACTTGGCTGATTTTGATTTTTTTTCTTTAATTAATCCGACGACGGAGCCTCTGCAAGTGAAACAGTAGTTTTTCTTGCATACTCCTGAGGTGAGGGAATTTTCTCAATTTTCTGCTAAAAGTATTAGAGTCAATTGAGAATAATTTTCGATAATTAATTAATTGGTTGATCTTGATTTTTCTTTAATTAATCCGACGACGGAGCCTCTGCAAGTGAAACAGTAGTTTTTCTTGCATACTTCTGAGGTGAGGGAATTTTCTCAATTTTCTGCTAAAAGTATTAGAGTCAATTGAGAATAATTTTTGATAATTAATTAATTGGTTGATCTTGATTTTTCTTTAAATAATCCGACGACGGAGCCTCTGCAAGTGAAACAGTAGTTTTTCTTGTATACTCTTGAGGTGAGGGAATTTTCTCAATTTTTTGCTAAAAGTATTAGAGTCAATTGAGAATAATTTTCAACAACTAACTACTTGGTAAAATTTTAAGGCTTTTGGATAACACAAATTCAAGCTGGTACCATCTTTTGATGGGCGTTGTGAGGGTGCTATAACCTTCCTCACACGTAACCGAATCCCGAACCCTGTTCTGGTTAGTAGACCTGAACCTATTCTTTTAGGGACCCTTAAGCTTAGGTGTTCCCTAAAAGGGCAGATTCCTTAGGTGGCCAATCACACCTGGATAAAAAAAGATTGGTGGCGACTCCCTAAAGTCAATGTCTGGCGATAGATCCCCGGATCTAGACGTTATGACAATGATTAATGAGAATTATCATATTTTCTTGACTTTATATTCTTGCTTACTGGTTAATCAAGCTGAATCAGGTCAATGTGAAAGTAAATTCGAGCTCAGATTTGATAATAATCAAGTTGAAATTCGAATTTTGTCCAAACTAAACTAAACTTGAATAGATTGCGAGTCCCATTTATGGTAAAGCCTCTACTATATTTTTGCGCATTAAAATTGCATGATTAATGTCCTACTTCTATAAATGGTAGGGGCTATAAATAATTAATTTAAACAGCATCCTAATTATTTTATTTGAAATATTGTTTTATTAATAAAAATAAATTTTATTTAATTTTAATTTTATAATATTTAAATATTAAAAATAAATTTTACATATGGGATTTTTAGAGCATCATCAATAATGTGTGCATATCAAAGCCTTAATCACAAATACTGGAACCATCCCATTTCTAAGCCCATTCAAGTTAGACCTCTTTTTAGGCTTCCTCATTAGGTTCATTTAAAAAATTTGATGATACGAGCGATATAAAATATTAAAAATTCGTATCATTTTTTTTTTTTTATAAAAGTTGTGTTTTAAAGCAGAGAACACTTAAATATCACGAACATTGTAATTTGCAATGGTGATATTATCAATCTCTTCAACTCCAATTCTTCTTTAAATATCCCAAATTCTTCTTCATCCAGACCAAAGTTCACTTGGCTATCTTAATTCTTTCACCCATTCTCTTCAAACCCCTGAAGCTAAGGAATTATTACAATGACCCACCAAGCTTTTGCTGGCTTCTGAAGCCTTGGAAGAGGCACCCCAGGTTTGAAAAGCCTTTCTTCCCTGATTAAAACATTAAGACTTTGAATATACTGAGAAATCATCGGGAATCGAAAAAAAAAAAACGTCATTTTGGCGTTGACAGGATTGAGTGTTTTTTAAGTTCCTTTGGATAATATCTTTGTTTGTTTGCTAAAGAAATGTGAGAGAAAAATTGAACCTTTGCCATTCTTTTGTTCATTGAGCCTATTGTATTACTGTTGCAGTCATTCAAATTTTATTTTTTAAGTTGACATTCCTACAGGTATAAATTTAAATTTTAATATTTGGTATTTTTTTTTTTGGTTATTTTCAGATTGTAATTTCTTTGATAAAAAAAATTGAACTCAAAATAACTAATTGATATTAAACTTGTTCAAATGTCAAGTTATTTGCTCAAATTCGAAAATTTATCCAAATTTTAAAAACACTTCGAATTAAAAATTAAAACTTATTAAATGAATTTGATCATAATTTTTAAATTTGTTTAAATTTTAGGTCAATCATTGAATCAAAAAATTAAAGCCCAAATCCAATTCAGCTCAAATAAAATATATAATTAAAATATTATAATTTTATAAATATATATGTTATTTTTTATTTTTTATTTTTTTAAAAAAGGATTTTTTTTTTAATTTTTATTATGTGAAGTAAGTTTAATGAATGTGTTTATAATTTATTTTTTCAATTTAAATAAGATTTAAAAATATTTTAAAATCCAAAATATCTGATGACCCATAAATATCTCTAATTGATGTCTTCAACTGGAAATGTGGGTATAGGCAATAACATAAAAAATATAGTTGTTACAATAACAACATTTTAATGACCAATTCTCAGACAAGATAGAACATATTTCAGAAAGTCTTGTCTTTTAACCAAGCTTAGGTTGAGCAATTAAAATTGTCGTAGGCAAGTTGTTAGAGGACACAACAGTACTACATATAGATTAAGCAGTAAAATTCAAGTTGGCCACTTATTTTGAGGATAAAAACAAAGTATAATTCCTTGTCAACTCAACTTCCATGTGATGCTCACTGCATTGGGCTGCTTTCCATGGATAAGATGTGAGTCTATAGTTGAAAATTCTCATCTTAAAGCCACAGATTTTGGTTCCAAATCATAGTCAGTAGGTCTGCAAGGGATTTCTTTTTTTTTTAAAATATTGTTGTGGCCACAGCTCTGATGTCTAAGGAACAAAAGGAATGTTCTTCAGGTTATATAATGAATATTGACTAATCCCATTATGTTTACGTATCTTTTTAACCAATCTCATTCTTGGTTTGGATTACCAATCTTTATCCGTTGAAGCCTTCACTTATAGACATCAAATTTGTTCGACTTTGATCTATTTTTATTATAATAATATTATTAAATATAATAATAAAAATTAAATAAAATATAAAAAAAAATCAGTGACAGTAAATATCGTGCACATCATTGCCACCCTTATATAGTCCCATCACCCCCCGTCTACCCACTGCTGCCCCTCTGTAGACCCATCACTCCTGTCTACTCTTTGTACACCAAAACTGTAGCCCCATCACCCTTTTTGCCCCATGTTCACTAAAGGCCTACAAAGCTCAGCACCCCAAGTTCACATGAGAGGGCGGAAAGATCCCATTCACACTCAGAAAGCTGATCATTCACGACCTTCCAGTCACGGCCTCCATACATTTTTTTTTTACAAAAAAAAAACACCAAAATAGAACCAAAAAGCCTATTAGAAACCAAACAAATCATAATCCTCGCCTATCAGGCGAGGAACCCAACGCCAAGTAAAACCTACAAAAACAAAAAAAAAAATATAATTAGTTTTAGTTAAAAAAAAATAGAAAAAATTGAAATTTTAAATTTTGATTTACGTCAATCGAGGTTATTTTTGGTGAAAAGAAAGACGTATATGGAGAGATAGGGTTGAGGAGAACGTTTTGATGTTTTTGATATTTTTTTTATTACTGGCGACCACCGGCAACGACCGTCGACGGTAACCATAGGTAACGGCTGACGGGGTAGTTTGGCTTCGGATTCTGGCAAGGCCAGAGAGTTTTTTTTGGAACTAAATTTTTTTTTTTCGAAAGAAGGTTGAAATGAATTTTTTTTTAAAAAAAGTTGACTTTT